TCGCATTTATCAACTTTCGAAGCACTATTTGCCCATTTTACAAGTGCTTCAAGTCTAATAAAGAGATGTCTAGTTCTACTTAAAAATGTGGCGATCTCCATTTTCTTTTCGAGATCAGTTTTACTGGGCAGACTGAAAAATATAAAACAAAGAACTCATACAGATCGACGAGGCGCATTAGATCGGTGTACACTTTAAGACACATATAATCGATCATGGTAGCTAATGGGACGGTATCGGCTCTAGGTCGAGGGACAATCTGTTCTACTTCTGACAATTGAGACATATTGGAATATGCAAGTAAGCGATAATGTAGGTTAGTTAGCTTCCACCGCCTTATGTACAATATAATAAAACAAATAAATCAAGATATATAAAATTAAAGTTTGTGAAATAATATATAAATTTTAAAAATGATATTATAGCAGTCGGTTTAAATTGTATTTATAAATAAGTTTACATTAAATTATATTTCTAAATATATCCGTCTAACACGTCTTCTTTATTGTTCTTTATTGTTTTTTACTCTAAAGTAACTCAAGTTTTCTTGTTTAAATATTTTTATAGTTAATTAAAAAGTAATTATGTGGTTTATGGGCCGGAAGCTAATCGATTTATAGCCAATATTTATCCTAACAGAATGTCATTTATTGTTTGTTTGGCTTGTAAGTCATTTCTATATTTTATCCTAAGAGCGAAAAGCCTCGCTACGCCTGGTTTCTTCCTAAGTATACTTGGCCGTTATTTTTACAACTGCAAAAAAAACAACATTTTGTCTAATATAAGTAAAACTTTCTAGGTTTTTCTATAATCTAGAATTAACAATATAGCTTAGGAAGTTTTATTAAGTTGGGATCTAAATTATATTTTCCTGTGCAATCATAACAACTAGCTCAGCATATAGATAGTAAATGTACAATACAATAATATATGTTATGTTATGCTGGCGTACCCTTCATTTCATTTGAAAGGTCAGATGAAAAGGATTCGTAAAGTGGTCTCACAAGATGCCGAAGGTTGGTTGATATGGGATTATAGGTTTTGGATTTGGCAATAAGACCTCTGCTGACCGTTTTGCGGCTCAGATGAATCAGTTCTGAGCTTTTATCCATCAAATGATGTGCATCGTTATAGACAGAATTCATCTTTTATAAATAATCGCCAAAAAACAATAAAGTCTGAAAGACATTATTCGATGATTGCTTGTAAACGATCGCTTCTGGTTCCGATGATGCCTTTCACAGGACAGCTACAATCTCAGCACGGATTCATCCATGTCGCATGACCATGAGCTGACTTCTTCTTCACACAAGCCAACACTCATATTTCCAAGACAGCCCTCCTTTGGCATCCAATAAGACCAAGTTACGAATCGCCTCCACTAGTCTTTTAAAGCGAAATAAATGGGATTTTTAAAAACCCTGATTTTCTCTATGTCTAGATTTC